TGTTTTTTTTTTTTTTTTTTTTTTTTTTTTTTTTGGGTTAAAGCAAAAAGGCTCAAGGAAATATCAAAATTCAATCTTTTCCACAAAACCCTGATTTAGTTTGGATTTTCCTAGAAAATTTCTGTTTGGTAAATGCAATTGGGTTCTGGGATTTCGAAATGAAAAGTAAATTTAGTGCCTTTTGATTTTTTACTCTTTTTTTATTTATTTATTTAACAGAAGGCACTCTAAGTGTTCGATAAATTTCCCAAGTGAAATTACTGAAGTTTTCTTTGAGAATGGCTGGTGTTTGTTACTCATTTTTGTCCGGCTGTTTTTGGTTATGATGTGGATAATTATATGCCAACAATGTTTATCGACAATTCTGTTAGTTTATTTGTAAACTAGAGAAAGAGAGATAAACAGAATTATATGCCAACAATGTTTATTAACAATTCTGATAGTGTATTTGTAAAGAAGTGATAGAAAGAGAAACAGAATTATATGCCAACAATGTTTATTAACAATTCTGATAGTTTATTTGTAAACTAGAGAAAGAGAGAAACATGAAGAAAGGAATACACCCTCAGATGCAATGGGTCTCCGTCGTGACGGAGGACGGCAGATTGATGCACCTTATGGTGGCCAAAATACACCACGCCGGTCAAGTTTTCCACATGAAAGCGAAGCGCCAAATGGCTCAGAGCATTGGCCGGATCGCCAAGTTTAGGCAGCGTTATGGGATGGGAACTTCTGAGCAGGGAACTGCTGAAAAGCCCGAAAAATGATCTTGAAAAATGATTTTAGTAGAGAACCTTATACTTCTAGAAATGCCTGTGCTTTGAAATAAACACAAACCCCTTGAGTGCAATGAGGCACCCTCTTGTTTTCAATGTTCCATGGATGGTTTATTTCGAAGACTCGATTTTTTGTTTCTCAATTTGACATCATTACTTGAAGATGAGTTGATGCATTTCTTGGAACACTTGTTTAACAGATTTCAGTTATTTTTCATGTTGTTTACTTAGAATCCTGAAAGTTTACAATTTATATCCGTCGAGAATTTAGATGCTTATGCTTTGAAATGAACAGGCCTATAGATTGCAGTGAAGCATCTCTTGTTGTGATGTTCATTGGTTGGTTTATTTCAAAGACTAGATTTTCTGTTTGATTAATGTAAGTTACCAAATCTGAGTTTATACTTGAAGTGTCATATATTAGAAATTGGACTTCATGCGTTTCTCGGAACAAGACTCTTTTTTGACAGATTTAAGTTATTTTTCATGTTGTTGCTTTAGAATTCTGAAAGTTGATATCAGTAGAGAATATTAACCTTCCAGATAAAGTTTTAATTTATCATTGAATGCATATGGTTTGGAAGAACAGGCCTATTGAGTACAGTGAAGCACCTCTTGTTTTGATGTTCATTGGATTCTTTATTTTTAAGACAATTTGTTTGGTTCATATATGTTACTTGAAGGTTATCTATCAAGTTACAGAATTTGAGTTCATGCGTGGCTTAAAATGTAAATAGGTTCGAAATGTGGTGGTTTAAACTTTAGTAGCTCAAAATTTTTGTTAATCTATGATCGACAGCTAGCACTTGGAGTTTCTTTCTTCTCAAGCTTTGGTTCTTTTGTGCCGACACCGTTAATAGTGTTGAGCCTACACCATTAGAATTTTCAAACCATTTATAATGCAATTGATGTTTTGTGTTATGCACGGTTGTGTTTATCTTTAGTGATGGCGTGGAACTTTCAAGCCATGCAATGGATTTTGATAATTCCACAGCTGAGGACAGAGAAAAAAGAAGTAGAATCCAAGATAGAAAAGAGAGAATTAATAAGAGAAAGAGGACTACAAAAAGGAGGAAATAGGATCAGATGAGAGAAACAAGGGTTTATAAGAAAAGAAACAAATACTCTTTAAAATATACGGGTCTTGAATTTTTACTCCTTACACTAGATTAATATCTTTTAGTCAAATACATTTGTATTTTTACTCCTTACACTGGATTAATATCTTTTAGTCAAATACATTTGTCAAAAGGGTATTAATTAATAATAAAGAGTAAAAATTTAGAACAATGCATTCAAAGAGTGAGTTTACAAATTTTGTTGAGGGGTTTAAGAGGAGCAAAGAATTCAGTAAACACAAGTGTCATATTTATTATAGGAGGCAAACACTAAAGCATATCTAATACAAAGTAATTTAATTCTTAATATTTCAAATAATCTTAAGAGATAAACACAATCTTAAATGAATCTTAAAAGAAAACATAATTCTAAATTTTAAACTAGATATTGAAATGAACTAAATCCAAATCTCCATCACAATGTGTAAATTTATCAAGTTTATGGTTTCCATCCTTTACTATATTATGTTCAAGATTAGGAATGAATTTATAACCCCAGATTTCTAGGCTTGCAAGTTTAATCATGGCTTATGAAATTCTACCAAACTTGCTCTACCATGTGATGTGCATGATTTTACAGCACTATGCAAGTTATATTACACTTTATTTGGGGCTCAAACCTGATTAAACATGTTTGAGCCTTTACTTCTCCCACCCTTTTTGGACCAGAATCAGGCAAAAAGTTTTGTCATCACCGTCCATGTAGGATAATGAACTTCAGGTTTAACATATGAGCCTAAGAAAAAAGCATACCATTTTGAAACATTAAAAATAAGCCTGTACTAGTTTGGTCACACCATTAAACACACTTAATCATTTGTAATTTTGAAGTTACTAAAATACCATGTCTTCCATCCACCACATTAGTCCGCCATTAGTAACCCATGTAAAAAAAGCATGAACTACATTAAATTCTTCAAACAACAAAGAAAACATACTCCTATTTACCTTTATATATATGTATCATTACAAGGGCTTTTTGACTCTACTTGTGAATCTCAAAACAATGCTTGCCAATGCACAAACTACTATCTTGTTCATACTTCAACTCCTAATTCTGTTTGGTATAGTAGGAGGTTCAGAAACAACTCACGGGTTAGGCGCAAAAGACACCAAAGATAACTTGACCTCGTCGCCATGGCTAAGGAAAACAATGAAACCTCGAGACCCCGGATGCTGGAAACGGCCATGGATTTGTAACCAACCCGGAGAATGGCCTCCTACGAAGCAGTGCTGCAAAAACATTTGCGTCGATGTCGCTTCCGACCCTAACAACTGCGGTTTGTGTGGGGCTAGATGTCCCTTTACATGGCAATGTTGCCGTGGATTTTGTTCTAATACCAATATTAGTCCTCTCAATTGTGGCAAATGTGGAAACATATGCCCCATTGGAGTTCCTTGCTTCTTTGGCATGTGTGGCTATGCTCAGCCAACGCCTCCGTGGCCATTCCCACCCTTGCCTCCACTTCCGCCTCGACCACCATTCCCACCAAAGCCACCGATGCCACCATTTCCTCCGTTCCCACCAAAGCCACCGATGCCACCGATGCCACCATTTCCTCCGTTCCCACCAAAGCCACCAAAGCCACCGATGCCACCATTCCCACCAAAGCCACCAATGCCACCGAAACCCCCAATGCCACCAAAGCCCCCAATGCCGCCCATGCCACCAATGCCACCAATGCCCCCCCGCCCACCTACACCCCCGATGAGTGATCAGTGACCATGTTAATACACTGAATTTCTTTGTTGAACTCTTATCCTGCTTCTATATTTTCGCGTCATATTATTTTGGCCCTGCTTCTATATCTTCTTGTCGTTTTGTTTATGTCCTTTTTCCGAGTTCATCAAGTCGTTCGCTTTGTGTGTGTTAGAGATTTAGTCTGGAAAAAGGAAAATGGGAAACAAAAAGGAAGGAAGGAAAGAAGGAAAGTGTGTCATGTGTATTAGTAGTGATATTGGTATGTCTATGAAATCTATTAAATGGAACCATCTATTTGCTTGTTCCATCAAAAGTAATTATATTCATCATTTGTCTTTTAACTCCATGTCAATTATTCATTTATTTATTTATTTTAAAAAAAATTAGAGCAAGAGTTTTTTTTATTTGTTTTAAAAGCATTCTGGTTTTGGACTTTTTAGTCCTAATAATTTGAACTTCAAAGGTGGGGTCACTGATCAACTCATGATCATGAAATAGAACACGTTGAATGAATTCAAGAGCTTCATATGTTCTTTGCCTTCTACTTCTATTTCATACCAAAAACTTATTTCATACTCCATATAGTGTAACAATTTATATCACTTCTCTTCTGTTATGGGTTATATCAATTACACCAAAGCATTAAGGTAAAAAAAAAAAGAGAAAAGAGAGAGAGAGAGGAAAAGATCTTCATTTATGATCATCATGATCATTATCCTCATGTTCCATGTATCTTTTCTCGACTTTTTCAAGATTAGCTTCTCCTAAAGTGGCCTCTTCAGTGCCATCACATGCCTTGTCCGAGACCTGACTGGCCACTCCTTGCTCTGCCTCTCTTAGCTTCTGCTCGGCCGCCCTTTTGAATTCCTCAGCCGTGGAAGGCGCTCTTTCTTCCATTCCATGCCTGTTGTGATGATTCCCTTTGCTTTCTTGGCTGCTGCAATATCTCTAACATACCCAAAAGGCATAATTGGGCTTCACCCCAATTAGTAACATATGTTCATACATACATACAGATTTAATATTTTATAGATACATACACGAGAAATGTTAATATTATTCTGTCACTCTCTGCCTTCATTGTGTTTATGAACTTCACCGACATTATAAATTATTATCTAAATAGAAAATAAGAGTGAAATTGACGTGGCAATGCTACATAATGAGTAATGCTAACATTTCTCATACACACACAATCAATACTACCAAGTTCCTTTCTTTACCAAAAAATTCTATGAAGTAAAACTACCCTATCGGTATGAATCTATTCTAAATTCATGTGATGCCAGTTTTACATTTATTTTTTTTTTAATTTTAACATGATGCTAACAAGATCTAATATTTAGAAACATGAATTAACTGCGCGCTTAAAAGAAAAAGATGATTCTTTATATATACAAACTCAAAGGGTGCCTTTTATATGTAATACAATTTCCATAATTCCATACACAAGATTCCTATCTACGCTCATGATCACATAGATGACACATCATATAGGCATAAGAGCCAGCTATTCTAATTTGAGGAAATGGGTATTTATGTATGTGTACAAATTTCAAGGACAAGATTGCTTCTTTTAGGCTCATAAGAATATGTGACAAGTAGTAGACTAATTTTAGTTTGACGAAAATGCCTCTTGTAACTTATATATATATATATATATATGTCAGTTCATAACATTTACAGAAGCTAATTGCAATGCATGTAAACAATAATATTACTGAAAAAATAAAAAAAGAAAAAGAAAAATCATCTAGGCATTAAAAAAAAAACACAAAAGAGATATACCAAGAATATATGTTCTTTGTCAAATATTTTGACTAAACAAGAAGTAATCTAAAGATATACCAAGAATTAACTAACTTTGATGACTATTAATTACCTTGATGGGATTGTAAAGACATGGGGCAAAGGGCTTGATCAAGGACATACTTGAGAAGGTACTGTATTTGAGAAGAAAGATACAGCCACCCATTTTACTGAAACAAAAATAGCTAGAAAAGCTATTTCCGTATTGAAATTTTTAGGGTTTTTTTTTTTTTTTTTTTTTTTTTTAAAAAAGCTAAAAAAAAGTTTTTCGCTTTTAAATTTTTTTGGGTTTTTTTTTTTTTTTTTTTTTTTTTTTGCAGAGAATTTAAAGCGGTACTAGTAAAGTGTAGCTGAAGAAGTTGGGATCACAAAAGAATGTATGATGCAGCACGGCATTGGCAAGGAAAGGGATTGGACCACACGTGTCCTCTTGAGGAGGGCTTTATTGGGAAACCCACGTGGTGCTTTGTAGATTAGCTATTTAACCGTCTAGGGAGTTAATTTTTGAGTGAAAAATTAAAAAAAAAAAAAATTTATTTGAGTTTATATTTTTTTAAATTTGAATTCGAGTTTGAAATTAAAATTTGAGTTTAAGTTTTTTCTTCAAGTCGAGTTTAGAAACTCAAACTCAAGTTAATAAATAATATTTTTTTCTATTCTTAAAAATGCTATAACTTTTTTGTTTTAATTCTGATTGAGATGGTTTTTTTTTTTCTATGCGTTGATAATGAAAAGACGAATAAAATTAGACCCATATACCCTATTAAAATTTTTCATCAGCATTGAATTTTATTAAAATACTATCTAAATACAAATTCAAGTTTTGACTTACTCAAACACAAATTCAAAAAAGATTCTTATCTCAAACCATAACTCAAATGTACACAACTAAACACAAATTTAAGTTTCAACTTCAACTCAAATTATAATTCAAACTCAATTCAAAATCTACACACAAATTACTTAACTTAAAAACATCAAAACAACAAGCCAGTTATGCCACGGCTTTTGCCAAAAAAAGAATTGGCAGTTATATATAAATAATGATACGATAATGATTTTGTCTTTCCTTCTTTTTCAATTTGATTAATATTTCCTTGAGAATATTGTTGAGCTTAATGAACCTGCATTTTTACCCTTATTTTTATTTTTAATTAATATATGAAAGGTCTATTTTTATATATAAGTGTTATAATATTTTTTATAACATTAATGTCTAGTTGAATTTTCAAATTTAGCAACTAATAAATAATTGTGTAGAAAAGTAATATAGAAAATAATAGTGCAGAACTATAAAAGATATAAGAAATTGATATCGTAGTTCGGTGCGCACACTCACATTTACGGAGCCACGTTTAAACAGTGAACAATTCACTAAGATCAATGATTACAAATATCAAGACGGCCTTACACACTCAAAGACTTCATTTTTAACAATATTATTGTTGTGTGGAATCTTCTTAGAGGCCTTATTCCGCAAGCACTACTCGTTTTTTAAAAATCTTCTCCCAAAAGACAACTTCTTCTCTCAATGAACAATCTTTTTGCATTTTCACTCGAACACTATTTTTTTCACAGAATTTTTCTGCAGATGTTTCACACAAAACTCACATACATGCAGCACATACTTTCCAGGATGATGCCCCCTCCATCATAGTCCACGGCATCATCTTACTTTCCACATAAACCGCCCTCTACAAGGCAAGTTCTCCCCCAACGGATTCTTTCCATAAACAGAGCCAATTAATCAGCCGAAGTCAACCATATAAATTATCATTCCATATCAGCAAAATCATTCTAAATCTAGAGCAACTAACCAGAAATGGAATTCCCATAATTGACCACAACACCAATTGCCACATACTTGTTTTTTTGAATTCATACAACCTTTTACCAACAAATTATACTTATTACTAAAGGAGGTAGGAAAGGACTTTCTGATTTTGCTCCTGTTTCTTTCTGTTCAACCATTTTTTATACCGTATGTGTCCTTTTGAGTGTTTTTACTGTTTTACCCTCGGTTTTATTTTGCTTCTGTGTTTTTTTCTTGGTATTTTAGTCATTTAGTTTAGTCCTCTTTCTTTTACCGTTTCCAATGTCTGACCTTTGCTATTCCTTTCCCTGGAGCCTTTTCTTCTCTCACATTTTGTTCCATTTTTTTTGCCATTGAAGCTTTTATGCTTCGTCTCTCTTTTTTGTCGGTGGTGGATTCTTACAGAAATGCTTACTGAGGCTTCTGGGCTTTTCTTCTCCCTCTTACGCTTTCTTTGATTGTTTGGCTTAAATCGAAGGTTCATCGTAGAAGCTCTGGGTTTTTCTCTCTGTTTTTTTTTCTCTTTCTGCCTCTCAAGCAATTTTCTCTCCTCTGTCATCCCCGATCCTTACCTCTGCACCACCACTACTGTCGCCGTTAGCCCTTCTTTGATCACGATCGGATGTGGCTCAATGACAAGGTTTTAATTTTCTTTCCTTTTTTCCATTTCATTTCTGTGATTTCATTCTTCGTGTTTTTGCTTTCCTTGGAAGAACAATTTTTTTTCTTCTCTGAATTCTTTGTTTGGCAAACCGTAGAAAATTTTCACTACTCTTTCTCTCCACTTAGCAAAATAAGTACATAACTTTAAAAAAAAAATTGTGTTTTTCTCTGTGTCTATGCTTTTGATATAGTGTGATTCACGATTTGCCGAGCTTCATTTAGCTCGAGGTCTAAAGTACACGTGAAGATCTGGGTTGTCTTCTTCGCCTCCACTATTTCTGCTCAACTTTCAGTAAGTTTTTTTTTTCTTTTTTTTTTAATAAAACTGTTAGTGGTGTGCTTTAATTTTTTTTTTTTTTAGTTTTCTGCATTTCAGGCATGCTTAATATTCTTTGTCCATATGTTCTTAATTTTTTGTTTTTTTGTTCCTTTGATTCTTTGCTGATAAATGTTGTTGTCATTAGGAATTTTGCTACGGATTATTGTGGGTTTTCGGCGATTTTTTTTCCGTTCCCTTTCTTCTTTCCCCTCTTCTCTTCAGCCATTTTTTGTTTCTTCGTTCCTTTGATTCTTTGCTTATCATTTTGTGTTGTTGTCATTAGGAATTTTACTATGGGTTATTGTGGGTTTCCAGCGGTTTCCCAACCCCCATTCCTTTCTTCTGTCCCCTCTTCTCTTAGGCCATTGATCTGGAATTTACATGGGTTTTTTCTATGTTCTTACGAGAGTGAATGTTCTGGAATGCATATTTTGTGTTATGTGCCTTTTTCCCCCTTCTTTTTGCCGAACCTCTGTTGTTTCTGATCTACTCTTTTGATTTGGGAATTGTTCCTAAATCAAATTTTTTCTACATTTAATGGTTAGCTAATCTGTAGTGCTGATTTGTGATATCTATGATCTTGCTTTGTACTTTTGTCTTGATGATCTGTGGCTTTTCTGTTGTAGATGCATTAAATGAGCTAGGGATTTTTTCCTCTTTTACTATCTGGAATATGCAACGTATTGTCGATGTTTCTCTTGGTTGATTATGCTTTGATTTTTTCCTTAATTTTTTTCTCATACATTTGTTACTTGCATTATTTTTTCTCTTTTTTTTCCTTCCTCAGTATTTGTCCACCGACTTAATTGTATTATATGTGATGTTCTCATTGGTTATCTTAGTCTTTATATATGTGTAAAATACTATTGTCGTAGGTTAATTTATTGTCTGTCCTTTCTTCTCTTACACCTGACATCGTTCCCTTTCTACCTCAGTGTTGATCACTTACTACCTTTCTTTACCTTGCCCTATTTACTGCTCCATTGTCTTAATTCTGTCTTTTTCCTTCCTCTTTGGTTGGCTGACATTGGTTACTTAGGGCAGTGCTCACAATATCTCAGGTACTATTAATGATTTCTGTCTGGATATTTTAATTGTTCTTTGTTAATGCTGAGTGTTCTGGTTTGTTCTATTGTTACCGCTATGTGTCATTTCCTATAGTGCTTAGAAAAATTAATTCCTATTCATTGTCAATAAATCTTAATGATCTATAGTTGTCTTCTTTTGTGTTCTTAATTTATTTCACAATAGTATATATAGTGGTTTATTTTTACATAACATATTTCTTATGTTTAATCGATTTTACTGTATGGCAATGCTTATTACAATTATTTTATATCTGCTTACTGCTATTTGACATATTTAGAAATTGTTATAAATGTACTTCTTAGTCATGTGGATTTTGTCTTTGCATTCTGATTTTGTTCGTAGTTTTTTATTATAATTGTCAAAATATGCTCTTTTTTCCTTTTTTTTTTTTACTTGGCATAACCTTTTTCAGATTTTGGCTGTGCTATTTTATCTTCGCCTACTTATTGTTCAATCTTTTAAATTTTGTCTCTTATGCGTGGATTTGGGTAGCTAATATTCTCTGTTTAAGGCAGTTTTGACACCGTTGCAGGTACTGTTCATGATTCTTCTTTATATATTTGCTGTTATTGGATATATTAGTTTCCTGTGCTGCTATTAGTTTTTATTGTTTGTTATGATGCTGGAAAAAACCTGTTTTTGTTGTTATGATTGCGTTCTCCTTTGTTTTGTTAGCATATAGTAATGATATATTGAATATGTTTTCATCTGTTTTATAGTCACATATATATGAATGCAGTTATTTTTGCCTAGCATATTCTATCTTTATTTAGCTTTCGTAAGTGACAATAATCATTATAATCAGTTTTGGTCTTTTTAATTCCATGTAATCTATGTAAAAATTACTGTCAGTAACTCTTTCTTGTTTGGATTTTGGTTTTCTGTATCTTCTTTAACCAGAATAGCCCAAATGTTCTTCTCCTTTTCTTTTTTTCTTCTTTTCGTGTGTGGCAATGATGATCAAAAATAACTTTGGCCTCTGTAATTTTGATGAATCTGTCCAAAAATTGCCGTGAATAAGCTCTTTTTATTTGAGTTTTGATTTTGCTTATTCTCTTGACCAAAACAATTTAAATGCTTTTTTTTGTCTCCTTTAATCCAAGTACATCGCATTTTCAATGCCTATTCCAATTTCATCTATTATTCTTTATTGGATTTTCCCATATTGCTTTTCTTGTCATCTAATTTACCTCATTTTCAATAAACAAGTAACATGATTGTCACTCTTTTGGTCTCTATTATTTTTTTTAACATCATTTTGATCTTTTGGTATCTGTGTTTTAAAATTTTGATTCAAAATCTTACTTTTTCCCGTGCCATCTTTTCCCCTGTTTCTTCTCCCTTTGTTTTATAAAAGCTCTTTGATCTTTGTCTTGCCTTACGATCTCCCAATGTGTTTTTCTTCTTTATGTTTCATTTTTCTCTCTGTTGTCAGCTTCAGCTTCTCTGATTATTTTATTATTTTGATCCAAAAAGAACCTGATCACTACTTAGGTATTTCAGCCCTCCCCCAAAAATAACAACATCAACTCCAAGACCAATCGACCCGCAAACATCGAATCCAAAAAAATTAGCCACAAGGTAAAATATATTCATTAACCTTTTAAACCTATATTTATCCATAACCTTTTAAACATATATTTATCCATAATCTTTTGAACATATATTTCAATAACATTTTCTCATTTTCAGTTCTCGGTCAAAAGAAGTAGAACAGTAAAAAAAAAAACATCAAAGGACTAAGTAACATAACTACTTTTAAATTAAGACATTTATAATATCCTCAATTACTAATACTTCTTCAAAATTTCCATTTTGCAGCTGAAAAAGAAAGAAGACCACAACAAAAAATAGACATGGCAGCTCAAATACGCTGTATAGTACTGTACTATCACAATCACATATCTATTGTATGATACAAAGTTATGTAAACGTACAAACAAATTCATATAGTGATGTGTAATTATACTATCACAAACACATATTTTTTATACAATGTAAAATTATTATCCGACTATCACAACCAGAGATCTTTTATATATACAAAGTTATTACCCCTCGCAACGTGAGGGTACAAAACTAGTTTACTAACTAAGAAAAGTCCTAACAATATCTATTTAATTAACATAATTATTTAACTAAAAAGTATATTAATATAAAAATCCAGAGTCATACGTAGTTTTATCTCCTTTCTCCTTAATTCTTTTCTGATGATGGACTGTCTATTCTTTTCCTTTTGAGTAGTTAGGTCTCGTTCGAGTTGAAAATTTAAGTTAAAAGTGATTTTATGTGAAAAAAAATATTATAATAAAAAAATTTAAATATAAATTTTTGTGAGAAGAAACGCTATGGTAAAACTCGTTATAATTCAAACTAGGGAAAAGAATGATAAATTATTTTCATTCTCATAATTGGAATAATACCTCACGTGAGATTGACATGATCTTATTCATTCAATTTTAAATGAAGGCCATCAATTTGACCAATTTTGTCATTAAATCCAGAATTCGTAAACGTAATTGTCCAATTTGAAAAATCAAAAATCGAACTCACTTATGAAAAAGTTCGTGGATTATTATCATAAATTACTATTTTTTCTATGTTTCTTACTGATTTTCTACTATATTGTTGATTTCCTACCAATTAAATTGTTGATTTTGTCAAATATCATTTTGATTCTCTATTGTATTGTGAGAATTCTTTCTTTGTAATATTGTGGATGACCTTTACGGTCTTATTTATTTTACTGATTCAAATTTAGAATTTGAGTTTTATTATAGTAAAAAATTCTTTAAAATAGTCACATCTAATTTTTTTAATACAATAAAAAACTCGAAAATAAAGTTAGATTTTAATTTGAATTTAAAATTTAAATCAGTGAATTAAACATTATTTTGTCTCTCTCAGAATTCTTCATCAATCGCAGAGATTTTTTTGAAAAATCTACTTATATGTTTGATTGTTGGTGCGCCTTTAATTTTCTATTATTGAAACTTGCTCATATATTTTCTTTTTGAAAAGGAAACTTTGTTCATAGGTCATTTACGTCAGTATTAGTGTCATAATTAGTGTGTGTATTTTCTCAATTTTATATTACAATTTTACCCTTCTAAAAAATTAATACAATCTAAAAGAAATCCTAAAAGAAAAAAAAAACCTGAAAATAAAATAGTCAACAACCAAACCTTCAGTAGTCAAACGTGACGTGGCACTTAGTGTACGTGTACGCTTAGTGAAAGCACAAAACGCTGAAGTCCTTTCTTGGTACCACTGTCGTTTTTTCTCAGGTTTAGGGTTTTTCTGGAACATCCATTTTTGCAGTGGCAGTCTCTCTCTCACCTCACTCTGCGACGTCTATGGAGTCCAACAGTAGGGACGCCTCTGCGATTCTCCGCGAAATCGAAGCTCTGAAGGCGACGAGGAACGAGATAGACAGCAAAATTTCAGCCCTCGAAGCTCAGCTCCGAGAAATTAAGCTTCAGAATGGGAACGACAATGGCGTTTTGAATAACGGCTCTTGTCCTCCAATATCTGGCCTTGACTCTGGTTTCGGTCACGGTTTGACTCCCCAGATGATATACCGATACAGTCGCCACCTCTTGCTTCCTTCTTTTGGTGTCCAAGGTTCTTGCTTTCATCATTTTCTTAAATTAGCTAGAAGTTTTACGCGTGTTTTATGTTTATGTTTAGAAGTTAGGAATATGAAATTTGTCTGTTTTGAATTGACTTTAATACAAAGTTACATTTTTTTTTTTTTTTTTGTATTTCTAAAGCGGGTTATTTTTAATTTTGTTGTAGTACAGTTAATTCACCAATTCAACCCGTGAAAACTATCAGAAATAAAAGATATCTTCTATTGTAATTTCAAAAGTATGCAACTCTTTTGCTTCTGAAATGGGTGTTTTCTAATTTGTCTGTTTTGAATTGAATTTAACACGAGGCTTTAGTTTCCAATGCACGGTGCTTCAGTAATTTTTTTGTTTTTTTAATTCTAAAGTGGGTAATTGTTAATTTATTGTAGTGTAATATTGTCCTATTTGACCACTTCAGCTCATGAAAATTGAAAGCTATTAGAACAAGTTTTTCTTTTGGTCATTTTTAAAGTGTGTAATCTTTAATTTTGTTGGGAACTTTTTAGTTGTCCTCCACTTTTGTTGAAGTTCACCAATTAAGCACATGAAACTTATGTGGGGAAAAGGCCTTTTGTTGTGTTTGTAGTTTCAGCTCATGAAAATTGAAAGCTATTAGAACAAGTTTTTCTTTTGGTCATTTTTAAAGTGTGTAATCTTTAATTTTGTTGGGAACTTTTTAGTTGTCCTCCACTTTTGTTGAAGTTCACCAATTAAGCACATGAAACTTATGTGGGGAAAAGGCCTTTTGTTGTGTTTGTAGTTTCAGCTCATGAAAATTGAAAGCTATTAGAACAAGTTTTTCTTTTGGTCATTTTTAAAGTGTGTAATCTTTAATTTTGTTGGGAACTTTTTAGTTGTCCTCCACTTTTGTTGAAGTTCACCAATTAAGCACATGAAATAATTTATTGTAGTGTAATATTGTCCTATTTGACCACTTCAGCTCATGAAAATTGAAAGCTATTAGAACAAGTTTTTCTTTTGGTCATTTTTAAAGTGTGTAATCTTTAATTTTGTTGGGAACTTTTTAGTTGTCCTCCACTTTTGTTGAAGTTCACCAATTAAGCACATGAAACTTATGTGGGGAAAAGGCCTTTTGTTGTGTTTGTAGTTTCTAAAATGGGTGGTTTTTAATTTTGTTGTAGGGCAGTCAAATCTCTTAAAGTCATCAATTTTGGTGGTTGGAGCTGGCGGGTTGGGCTCCCCGGCACTGCTATATCTCGCAGCTTGTGGTGTTGGTAAAGTTTCTCACTCTCGAGGATTTAATAGCATTATGTCTATACATTTTATGTATTTCTTCAGTTGACCTTTTTCTAGATTATTATGTACTGATTTCTTTCAAGACTCTTTTTGCAGGACGGTTGGGAATTGTGGATCATGATGTGGTTGAGCTTAATAACATGCACAGGCAGGTACAAATTGGCAACCTGCTAATACTATTGTAATGCTACATTAAATATTTTTGATGTGTTAAAGTGAGTGTATGGATGTTTTCTTGGTCGTTTAGATAAAAACATCTTCACTTGCTCTTAAAGGTTTATACAAGTGAAGAATTTAGATTTATTATTTCTTTCTGTTATTAAACTATTGCCGTTATAGTTTTTGACATAGTTCATTATAAGTTTACCTTTTCCCGGTTCCCATTTAAGTGACAGATTTGCTGAATATCTAACTTGGTACTTTCTGTTTTATGCCTTAGATTACTCACAATAGCGAACTTGTATTTTCTCTTTTATGACTTAGATTATCCACAATAGCTAACTTGTACTCTCTTTTATGTCTTAGATTATTCACACTGAAGAATATATTGGTCAGCCAAAAGTAAAATCAGCTGCTGCTGCTTGCCTCTCGTATGTTTCTCTATGATTATTATTCGTTTACGTTTGATTGAGTAAATACTTTGAGGTTTTCTAAAAAGTCTTTTCTAGAGTTTTCTCTTTGCATTTGCTTGCATGTTTCTAACATGTCTTTGTATCTAGGATCAACTCCACTATCAAAATTGTGGAACACAAAGAAGCTTTACTCGCATCAAATGCTTTGGAAATTTTGAGCCAGTATCCTTTTATGTTATATACTTGAATTGCTACTGCTCTCACTACTGTTGTTGGCGGAGTTCCAAACATTTGAAACTCGTGATTTCCATCACTGTTGACATTGACCAGATATGATATAGTAGTCGATGCAACTGATAATGCTCCTAGTCGATACATGATTAGTGATTGCTGCGTGGTATTGGGGAAGGTAATTTTCCCTCCTTTTTTGGTGGTCTTCTAAAGGCGCTCTGTTGATTTACCTTTTGTTGTGTAGCTTTATTCTGGAATCATCAAGGTTGTTCTTTGTTTTGTTTTTTTTTGAACATCAATAGAAAAGAAATAAATAGTCAAAGATGCAGAATCTCGATTGTGGTTGTAAAGTTTGTGACATCAGTTATTATAGCTGCTCTTGTAACATGATTAGAAAATGTATTATGTCGAATTATCTTCCTTTAATATTAATTGGTAAAATTTCTATTGCATGCAGCCTCTCGTCTCTGGTGCCGCTGTTGGATTGGAAGGTCAGGTATAGGTCGCTTAAAATTTCATACTTTGTTTTGACTCTGTTTTGACCCATGATGTCTTCGATTATAAACGAGGATTGTGCTTTAACTATAATTACTGCGTATGTTTAATTAAAAAATTATTAATGTCCACTCTTTCATTTATACTTTGCAGCTTACAGTTTACAATTACAACGGCGGTCCATGCTACAGATGCTTATTTCCAACTCCGCCACCTTCAACAGCATGCCAAAGATGTTCTGACAGTGGCGTACTTGGAGTTGGTGAGTCAAATTGATTGTTTATGAGAAGTCCTGACGGTATTTTGCATATTCAATATATATGTTCTGTTCTTAATAAAGGAAGATGCTGAAATTATATCTTAATTGTTGCCCTAGTTATACGGAAAGAGTTAGGCAAAGGTGTATAAGTGGATTCCTCTAATAATCAGTAGTGGAATATAATGATAGCAAGATGATTTCCAACTTGATGACTAGTGCGGAAGAAATTGAGACAAGAAAATCTCAAATGATTTCCAACTTGAGTTGAGTTTGAGTTATAACATGAGTTGAAGTTGTAACTTGAGTTTGTGTTTAGTTGTGTACATTTGAGTTATAGTTTGAGATAAGAATTTTTTTGAGTTTGTATTTGAGTGAGTCAAAACTTGAATTTGTATTTAGATGGTATTTTAATAAAAACTCAATGCTGATGAAAAATTTTAATAGGGTATATGGGTGGGGTTTTATTCGTCTTTTTGTTGTCAACGCATAGAAAAAAAAAATCATCTCAATCAGAATTAAAACGAAAAGTTATAGCATTTTTAAGAATAAAAAAAATATTGTTCATTAATTTGAGTTTGAGTTTCTGAACTTGAGTTGAAGGGGAAACTTGAACTTGAGTTTTAGTCCCAAACTCGAGTTCAAACTTTAAAGAACATGAACTTGAATAAAGTTGTAACTCGAGTTGCATTTTTTTGAGTTTTGTTGGTTGCCGAACAGCCCCTAGGATTTTCAACATCATTCATTTGTTATTTGAACCTAACTTGGTAGATATATTTTATTTCATATTGTGTAAATAAGTGGTTTTTATATTTTCTTTGTTTATTTCAGTTCCTGGTGTCATTGGCTGTCTTCAAGCTCTAGAGGCTATTAAGATTGCGAGTGCAATTGGTGAACCTCTCTCAAGAAGGATGCTTCTATTTGATGCATTGTCAGGGCGCATGAGAATTGTATGTTTTTAATTATTTCTTTATTCTATGTGAATGCTTTCCAGTGGTATTAATAGAGAAAATATGGAATCTTGAACCATTGAGATAGGTGTGGTAAATGCTTAAGTACAGCTTAACTGAATGGCTTGCTCGATATGTTGTGTTGATGGGGTTTTGTCCAAGTGGCTTAACTTAATCCGCGTGTATTCTAAGTAATGGACTTGGAAGTCGGGTCGATGTGTTGCATTTATGTCTGGCATATTCTCCTCCATTTCAGGTCAAGATTCGTGGGAGGTCATTGCAATGCGAAGTCTGTGGCGAAAACACAACATTCTCCAAGCAACAATTTCAGGAATTTGATTATGAAAAATTCACTCAGACTCCACTGTCTCCGGTATTACTCCGTTACTAAACTCGTGTACTATTTTCACTGAAAATTTTGTTGCGATGAGAGATTGAAAACTCTTTTTTCTGTTTTTTTCAACAACTCAATTACAGGTCTTCAATTTTTGCAGGCACCTTTGAAGCTGAACCTGCTCCAGGCAGATTCCAGAATAAGCGGCAAGGAGTTTAAGGAGAGAATTGATAATGAGGAGGCACACGTATTGGTCGACGTTCGTCCAGAACACCATTTCAAGATTGTTTCTCTTCCAAGATCCTTGAACATCCCACTCCCAAGTTTAGAGGCCAGACTAGCTGAGATCTCTTCAGCTTTAGAGAAAAAAGAAGATGAAACAAATTCTGGTTCAGGTGCCCAATTATATGTAGTGTGTAGAAGGGGTAATGACTCTCAAAGGGCTGTTCAGTATCTGCACAAGATGGGTTTCACTTCAGCAAAGGATATCATTGGTGGGATCGAAGGCTGCGCCCGAGATGTGGACCCCAACTTGCCTATGTATTAGCAAATGGTACTTATTGTGTCATAAGTCTTTTATGCTTTTGAGGGTTACAAATTACAATACTTAGTTTCATATTTGCTTTGTATTAACAAGGAAGAAATGAATTATTAGTGGGTTTTGGTATACTAATTTTTGCGCAGATGTGCTTATTATGGCACTTGTTAATCTTTATTACTTTGAGCGTTGCAATAGGTTTTTGTTCTTCAATTTCACATTTGCATGTTTGAACACAAGGAATTATAAGCAGTTTTGGTATACGATTTTTTTTTTTTTTTGTCCGCCCGCTTTTTGCCATTTTTAAGGTGTAATGATTAACATTGATTCTCCTTTGGACGTTTAGATTAGTGTTTCTAAGACCTCAAGAAAAAAAAAGGAAAAAAACTTTTACACCATGAAACACAAGCTTGCCTAAACCATGGCTGTTGAAAATTTTCATGCCATAATTTCATTCGGTAATGGTAAGAATTTTTTTCGTTTAAGTAAGTGTTCTTTCATGCCAGCATTCTGTTTACGGAAGAATTACAAACAAAAATTATTGATAATTAAGGATCCTTCTAAATCACCAATTCTCGCAGTTTTCGCAATCAGAACAAGCTCAAACAATCAGATCAAGCCCAGCTCAAATATCAAATGTTAGAGGTAAAGAGCATTGCATGCCTCACCATCCAAGGAGGAGGAGTTTCAAAAGAGCCATTCTGATATAGAGGCCGTTCTTTGCTTGTCTAAAATAGGCCGCTCTCGGATCCACATCGACATCAACAGTTATCTGCGGTTATTCGAGGGTTAAAGAATATTGTTAGATCAGTGAGCTTACAAAAGCATGGTAAATACTGAACAACCAAATACTCTGAGGCAATGATCAAGTTGGTAAGCAACTATTTGGTCATGTAACCGATTCAATTAACGTTACTAGAGCACAATTAGGTCTTTCGTAGGCAAGTCGAATGTCCCTCAGAGGATCAATAGCTTACTTCATCAAGCCTCGGTAGAGGGTGCATGACGACAGCATGCTTTGGCATCACCTCCAGTATGCGACGATCCACAATGTACTTGCCTCGAGCTTCTTCATAAAGATCGATTCTTTCTCCAAACCGTTCGCGTTGGATGCGAGTTTGATAGACAACATCACACTTGTTAGCCACATCGATTAAATCTGCACTTTCTTCCCACTCAATCCCCATGGATGTCAAATAATCTTTTATGTCATCCTGAAAAAAGCAATCATAAAAAAGTAGGCTCATATACTGTCAAAAACTAAAGGAACATGATTTATAGTTTATACTGTAAATACTACCTTCATATTCACCACTTCAGGAGAGACGAAGTAGATCTTCACGTCTTTATACTTGGCAAGTAAGTAAGCAAGGGAGCGCACTGTCCTGCCATTAGCAAGATCCCCTACAAGCCCAACTTTGATGCCATCCAATTTTCCTATCTCTCTTTCAATGGTATAAACATCTAAAAGAGCCTGTTGACAAAAGTCCCAGAAGCAAAGTGAGTAAACATAAAGAAAATTACCAGGATTTAATCTCGGAGTAGCCCTTGGCTATTTAAGATGTTATATTTATGCCATACTTGCTGCTAATTGTAGTTAGACATGCAGCCCTAGGACCTATGAGCAGCTAGCCTGACAGCATTGACTAAAACTATAGGCCAGGCTGGGCAGGAGTCCTGCAGCCCGTTTGAGCTTAATAATTTCTCGATTTTTGAATGTAAACCCTGCAGCCTTCAAGCTTAGGCAGGATGCACCATAATCAGCACAAAGTGCTGGCTGAGATGGGCCTATCTTTGGCCGGAATGAGCTTCTCAGTCCTAAAGCAACAGCCCGGTCCAGAGCCTAAAATGGGCTAACAAATCACGCTGGCCCGACCCAAACCCATTTTGCATCTCTACTTGTAGCGAGTTCGCCACTCAAATGCAATAAGGAAGAAGTTTATCCATACTTGAGTTGGATGTTGCCCAGGACCATCTCCAGCATTGATGACAGGAATACCAGCAGTGGCTGCAGCTTTTTTAGCAGCTCCACTCTCAAAGTGCCGCATAACAATTATGTCCGAGTAACCCTCAACGGTTCTTATAGTATCTGCAAATCAAGATCAAAGTCACAAGCAATTATTGGTAAACAACACCTACAGACCTGGTAAAGTAAATGAAAGTGATTACCTTCAAGCGTTTCTCCTTTAGCTGCCGAGGAAAATTCCCGCGCATTTTCAGTTGTTAAGACTTCCCCACCTAACCGTTTCATGGCAGACTCGAAGGAAAGCCTTGTCCTAGTAGAGGGTTCATAAAAGAGGGTAGCCATCAGATAACCTTTCAGAATTTGGCTTCCTGATGAATTCTTTTTAATCTTCTCCATATCTTGTGCAACTTCGAAAATAGCATTAAGAATATCTCTATCAAACTGTTGAGCTTCAATCACATCATCAAGTTCAAACTTCTTCCCCACTGTAAAAGGTGGATTATCCGTTTTCACTGCCCGGCAGAGAATTCCATTCCTTTTTGAGTCTCTCCCTGGTTGTTCCAATTTCATCGATTCCTCATCGTGTAAGAATCTTGGATGTCTGAGATACATTGACCCGTAACAACCCAATTGTTTGCGTGTAAGATTTACATAATTGCACATGAGATTCTTGTAGGATGTCTTTGTTTCTGGAGAGCACATTCCCTCTCGGAATGAGCATGTAAACAAAGAAGAAGCAGCCATTGCCATATTCGTAAGATTGGCTCGATCAAATTAACTCCTTTTTATCAAGCACTTTCAAGTCCCTATATTTCCAAAAAAAAAACAAAAAGAAAAGAAAAAGATTAGTTCAAAAAACTGTTAAAAGGTTTTACAAATTTATGAATTCATAACTTTAAAATGTTAAACAAGCATAATGAAAACCTCATCTTTTTCACAAGAACAGAAGTTGGACATGACACCAACATCTAACATCAGAATTATTATGCCTGGCTAATCAATACTTCAATGTCCGAAATTTTAGTAACATGTAAAACATTGTTATACAAAATAGATCATATTAATTTCAACGTCAAAAACAATGTAGAAACAAAAGACCAGAACAATTAAACCCTCTTCAACTTTTTTCTAATACTTAAACATAGCAACAAAAGACACAGAAACAAAGGCACATTTTTATCAATAGCTAGAGCACCAAAGAATATATATAACTAATTAAAGCACAATTATATTATAACGTAACCTCAATCACCAAATAACATTTCCAGAGATCGGATTCATACTAGTGAAAAATTTAGTAAAGTTCAAATATTTACAGGATATAAACTTTCAGAATTGTGCAACTTTTAGAAGTTCAAATATTTACCAGAAATCCGGTTTAGAATTGAGCAACTTTAACAAACATAAATCTGACTCAGAACAATGAAAGTTTAACAAAGTTCAAACAGAGCCGGCTTAACCCTAAGGCAGGTTAAGCGGCTGCTTAAGGCCCCAAAGTTTTAGCCTACAATTTAGGCCTGTTTCTATTATATTTTTTGGGCATGTGATGTCTATGGTAGGGGGAGCTTTTTTTCCTCTGCCGGTAGGGTGAAATCCAACGATCCATATTAAATCTTAGTGAAGGTTTATGTAGTCTCATTCACATCGGATTGTAGCCTATATTTAAAATAAAATAAAAAACTGAAGAACGTAGTGTTTTTTTTAGAATGAAGAACAATAGTTTAGTACGCCCAGAAAGTAAAAACCAACCTTAAAATCATGAATTTTCCTCGCAATCCAAAACTCAGAATCTCAACAGCCCAGAAACAAACAATTCAAGCAACAATGATCAAATTATCAAATTGTATGAATTAAGACAACTCAGAAACCTTCAAATTATCAAATTTTCCTTGCAATCAACAATTCCAAAGAATTCAGACAACCCAGAAGCCAACCTTCAAATTTTCAAAATTGCTAAACTGGTTGATTTCGAAACAAGCAAATCCAAGTCCCTAAACTGGGTGATTTTAGAATCAAGAGAGGAAAAAGTGAATGAGATTATGGTTTTGTTATGTCCAGTTTCCGAATCTATTGTTCGCTCGAAAATTCCTTCATTTTCTTCTTCCCCAAACACCTCTTCTATATTCTCGTGACAAATATGAACTCTGCAAATTGTAGACATAATAATAACTTACACAAAATTCAGAAAATATTAACGATAACAATAATCATATTAGTAATAATCCATAAAGTACAAACTAGATTTCCCTTTTCCAAAAAAAAGAAAAAAAAAAACCCAAAGACTAGAGAGAAACCTGCAAATTAGGGATTGGGTCTGCAAATTTGCGTTGGGGAAGGAAGGTTTTTTTATTTTTATTTTTATTTTTTATTTTTTAAATCCAATTCAGAACTGTGAAACTTTCATTAAAGTTTACGTCTTTACATACAATTCCTCTCAAATGGACGGCACAAGGAGAAAATTTTCAACTATGGAAAACAAAACACAGAAAAAATGAGGTTAACACTCTGAAAAATAATTAAATTAAGAGACAAAAAAAAAATCTTAAACAAAAGAAGAACTCCGGCTCGTAGAACCATGAAAAAAGAAAAAGAAGCTTTGGCTTTGGTTAGTTGGCTAGAAAATCGGAAGTCATATTCCAAAATGGAAAACCAACATTAACAAAATCAAATAAATAACAACTGATTTTAGTTAAGAATTGTAGGAAAATACCAGGGAAACTTACTCGTTGAGTTATGTCGGAGTGTCTTTTCTCTTTTCTGTTTGTTTGCCGGGAAAAGTAATGGGAAAGTAAAACCTTCAAAGAAAGATAGGGTTTAAGGGGTAAACTAGTAAATAGAAAAGGAAAACAGAACGTTGTCGTTTTGTCATTGACATCACTCTATTTTGTTAAATCATAAAGAGACCCCTCGTTTAAAATGTATTATACTAACACCCTCGAGTTAGACAATTTACATGTACATCTTAAAGCCCGTTTGGTTCCGTCCCAAAACCAATTTTTATGATTTCAGAGAAATGAATAATGGGAAAATGTAGTAAAGAGTAAATTTATAAAAACTAAATTAAGTAAATTATAGATTTTAAAACCATCTAAATTAAATAAAAGTAAATTGTAGATTTTAAAACTATTTATTAAAGTAAATAGTATATTTTAAAAGACATTTACAAAGTAGACTATTATTTATTTCAAAGAGTTTTAAAATCTGCTATTTATTTAATTTAGTTTTATAAATTTATTATGTATTATAGTTTTTCTAAGATAATTACCTGTAACATTATCTAATATTCCCTAAGCCTGTAGCGAGAGGAGAAAATAGGCTCATTGCTTATTAGATGCGTAGATTACACATTAGGGTCTCGTTCGCTTTACAGATTCGAGTTTTCAATTTAAACTGAGGTATAACATTTTCTGAGAGTTTTTACCTGTAGAAATATGAAATGAAAACTCAAATTGGTGAAATGAACGAGACCTTAATTAGTGTCCAACCAATCAAATCACACTACATTATCCTATGATAAGTATACAAAATTAATTAAAAAATAATTTAAATTTTTTACATGACATGATGTGAGATGATTGGTTATACACTAATTAAGACACTAAAATTAGACAGAATATCTAACTCCATAAATTCTGGCTATGCCCAAACCAAAGATTGTAAGTCCCAACTTAATTCGGATAATATGAATTAATTTAAAGAAGCTATGAAATGGTTTTTTTAAACTGCAAAACAACCTAAGAACTTAGATGTATATACGAGTGTAACGAAATCTCCATTTGGGTGCAGCAGGTGGTGGTTGGTAGTGGGCTAAAAAATAAAATAAAATAATTAAAACAAAATAAAAAAGTAAACACAATTGTAAGTTTTTGTTGCCAGTAAATAGATTTACTTATCTATAGCAGTCCCACGTCGTATACAACCGACAAACTTTTAACATAAATAAGAGTTTTTCGTGTGAGATAAAGAAATAAAGCTATCGTTAGTTTGTTATATTTATTTTTTCAATCTAATTTAATTTTAACCGGATTCAATGGTTAGAAAATTAATCCTATTAATAAAACGGTCTACGAAGAAACTCCCTACAACATAAATACTTGAATCTATAAGTGGACGTTTAGTTCATAGATTCAGAATCATAATTCATAACTATTTTTATTTTATGCGTGTTTTTTGTGAGAGAAAAATATTGTAGAGAACCATGAATTATGATTCAAAATCAGGGACGAATACAGGAAACAAACACCCCCTAAGTTTAACTGAAAGTACTTTTTTACTTTTTAATAATATACCAACGGTAGTGCTAATGCCAATGTCAAGTCATTCAGATACTTATCTGTGGCGAAATTGATGTCGACCCATACGAATGTGGTGAGAATGTGGTGAGCTTGTGGAAAGGACAATGAAGAATGCTACGAGAGATGCTTTCAAAGGTTATCTACCGTAAGTTAGGTCTCATTCATTTTATCAATTTGAGTTTTCAGTTTTAGATTTCTATAGTTAAAAAGCTCTCAGAAAATATCACATCTAATTTTTTTTGCTAAGTTAAAAACTTTAAAAAAATATCACATCTCAATTCGAATTAAAAATTTGAATCTGCGAAATGAATGAGGTTTAAAACTTTTCATAAGTTAAGACACCAAAATTTGGCCAGAAGATCTGGATCCAGAATTTATGCTTTGGTGACATTCTTATTTGGATTCAAAAATGGCAAACTTGTAGCCGTTGATACCGCTAGCATGACGTTTACTGGTTCCCCAGGTTTGACTTCTAGAATGATATGCACCCGCAATTAGAGGAAAGGAAGTTGTAGAAACTTATGACCCGTTTATTTTACTGATTTGAGTTTAGAATTTAAATTTTGTTATAGTAAAAAGTTCTCACAAACAGTCACATTTAACTTTTTTATTACAGTAAAAAATTTTCACATAAAGTTATATCTCAATTCAAATTAAAAGCTCGAATCAACGAACTAAACAGACCTTAATTTAATCACGTAATTAATGAATAATAAAGAAGCACGAAATATTTGTGAATGCCAATAAACTCTTATCATCTTTTTTGGTCCGTGCTTGTAGTAGTACTTTTGATTTATCATATTACAAGTGTCTCACATGAGGACAAGTTTTCTGTTGGTAGTTGTAGAAGCTTCCAAAGGACAATCAACCCATTAGTTACATTGTTTTTCAAGACATTGTATTGGGGGACTCACCAATATTGGGGGCGTTTTATACGTGGCAATATCAGAATCATGATAAAAAAAATAAACATTCAATTAATTTAATAAAAATTTGACCGGTGAATATAAGATATCTGAATAATAAGATCGAAATATATTAAAATTTGAACTTAAAATTTTCTGCTATGATATCTTTTAAGTTTATTGATCCATCTTAAAAACTTAAATTATTAAGAAGTGGATAAACAACAATTTTTATGTTTCAACACAGAAATCCTTCTTTAAATCTTGCTAGTGTTAGAAAACACAATGGGTTTACTAGTCTATGCCTACAAGTATACCACATATCATTATCTTTCATGTCTTTAATGTGAAACCTATTCTTAATCTTACATGTTTGAAAAAAGAAGGCAAATATTTTTTAGAGCGCGTGAGTCTGAATTTTTATTTTTTATTAATATTTTTTTAATAAATAATTATATTAGTTAAAATTGTATTAATCAATAATAAAGGATAAAAATTCAGATTCATACAGTCTAGTGATAAATTTAATGATTTTCTCTATATGTTTTCTTTATGGCTATGCTCTTCTTACAATTAAATCCTATGGATTCCCTGATCAAATCAATCTCTCTTAATAAGTTTTAGTCATATATAGGGAAGTGCCTAAATTTGACAAAAAATGACCTTTTTTTTTTTTTTATTTGGCTTCGTAATTGTATTGTTCTTCCACTATAAGTATTGTTATACAATATGGGTTTTACCACTACAAGCAATAAAAAAAAAAAAAAAAAAGAACCCCTAGCTTGAAGCGATTAAAGGTGTATTAAGAGAGACATGGTCAACTTCTAATCTACTCAGTTTAGCAAAAACTCCAACTAATGGAGCTGTATTATAAGTGCATGCTTCGGTCTGCATGTAATTCCACCTCTCATCTCTAAACTGATCATCACTGTCGGGCCCACCGACCAGGGCCCCATCTAGCACATTGGGGTTAGGATCATGGCGAGTATACCAATTATCATACCCCTGCGTGCACCCAATAAATCCCTTATTCTTCTTGTATGATTCAATAGATGCTCCTCTATGGTGCACCCTTTTAGGGTAGTTTAGGCCATAGCCCACTAAGTAGCTCGCAGCCATCGGATTAGAACCCAAGATGTAATCAATCTGTGATTTGGCAAAGGAGAAGATTTCTTGTGGGCCCACCATCCCTTTTGGGCAATCAAGCATCTGATTGGTGGTTCCCAAGTAATCAGAGTAGACCGTGAGTAGAAAGGCTGCGTTGGAGACGTATTGCATGTTGTTCCATTGGCGGGTGTACAGTAAGCCCCCTGGGGTGCGTCGCACGTTGGTCACATTGTTTTTGTTAAGGCAAGCACATATGTAATGCTCACCTTTTGAACGATATTCTTCAAGCACGTGCTTGTGCTTAATATTGTGCCTTTCTTCCTTCAACAACTGCAGAAAAGAAACGTACATGGGAATTAAGGAATGACATTAAAAAAAAAGTGTTTTAAGTAATGAACAAAGGTAAAAATTCTCTTTAAGAGCTTAGATCACACAAAAGTCTAGATCTTATGTCACAATGTGTATCTATGTGTACAAGAAGAAATGGGCATGATCGAAAAGAAGGCACAAAAAAAAAAAAGAAAAAAAAATTAAAAATCTTATTTTACGCTATTGATAGGAACTATTATTTTTAATTACTAATTAGTTTTTTAATGCTCAAATTTTTGAGTATTTGCACTAAAAATTTATCGCACACGACACAATTATTCCGAAATTAGACAGTCGAAAAACTTATCTAATAGTAAAACAATTGTTACTGATACGGTAAAATAACAGTTCCTACTATGAAAGTTCCATGAAAAAAAAGGGAGAGCTCAATTATATACCATTGAAGCAATGATTTGAACACCAACATACTTGACATCCCAACTAAACTCTTCCATGGTCCAAGTAATCCCTCCAAAAGCATAAGCATTTTCCAAAACATACTCCAAATATTGCTCTTTGCTTGTGGCTTTGTATAGCCACAAAGCTGCCCATAATAACTCATCCATGTAGCCACTTACTGAAGTGTAATATCCCTTGGCCACTCCAATACTCTCATCATATTTTCCTCTGTATTTGTCACCAAACTCAAACAACTACAAAACCACCAAAAGTGATAATAATATAAGCAAGGAGTGATAATAAAATTAAAAAAAAAAGTACTTTGGATAATTTATGACACTTCCAATAAGTATATTATACCAACTAAAACCATTTCAGTTTTGATAAACAGTACATACCAACGTAACTAATCCTGTTAATAAGATAAAAATAATCTCATTAACTAACTTACCTGTTGTGCATGGTGTAATAGTAGTTGGGAGTAATGTGGATTTGTTTCCCTAAACACAACGGAGGCCGCGGCCATCGCCGCGGAAGTTTCTCCGGCGAGGTCCGATCCGGGGCTGCTCTCGTCCACCTTGTAGGCTTGCCGTGACGTTGTCATGTCCTCCGGCCGCTGCCAGCAGTAGTGATCAGTGTCACCATCACCAACCTGAAAAAAGATAAACCATTATTAAGGAATTAATCAATCCCAATTAACACCGCCAAAATTGTTGGAACAAAATTTTCAACATGACCAATGTCAAATCCACGTGCCGCCGCGAGTGAGACACGCGCCAATCACGGTATCAACTAATTGACTTCTCTCGAGTTCAAAAAGCAGATTTCCCGGTGAGACACGCGTTCAAGCGCGTGGGGATTCTCCAGTATTTTGTCCAATTACCTCGGCCCATAAAACGTTGGGGTGAGTATGAGCCTTGATGAAGTAATCCGTCCCCCACTTGATTGCTTCCAGCGCGTGAGTGTACTCGCCGGCATCTTTAATTTGTTTTCCATATTCAATAACACCCCAAGAGAGCATTGTTATGGTAAATGCCATTGGCAAACCAAATTTCACATTGTCACCGGCATCATAGTACCCTCCCACCAAGTCCACCTGAATCCCAACAAAAAAAAAGCTATAAATTTGTTAATTCCCAGAATAAACGGGGATATTAGCAAAAACCTCTTATGTGTTTTTAAGAATGTTGTACATATTCCTTAAGTTTTACAAATAATGTTAAAACTTCTAAGGTTTACAGCATTTCTGAAAACATAGAATGGTTATAACATTTCGATAAAATACGGCGGGAGATTTTCGAAATAATGTATTGTACAAACCCCTTGTTCAAGGCCATCGTCGAGGCCGGAATGGTGGCGCCAAGTGACCCTTTGGTTGTGGGGTAAGTGTCCCGAGCGTTGAGACTCAAAGTAGAGAAGGCTCTTGGAGAGGGCTTGGCCGTAGAAGTGGACGGATTGGCATGAAGAAATGATGGCAAAGAAGGATAGAAGAGGAAGCCATTGATGAAGAAGAAAATTAGGGGTTCCTTCCAAGGCTATACCTTGCTTCTTCTTGTGCTTCATTTGGCCTCTCTCTCTCTCTCTCTCTCTCTCTCTCTCTCTCTCTCTCTCTCTATATATATATATACACACACACATATATACATTTATATATCCGTGCTTGGCACGTGATTGGCAAGGATTGGGTGTGGTTGAGAACATATGGACTTGAGTAGATGTCACGATGTTATTAGTTTTTGCAAGAGTCTTTATAAGACCTTGTTTTATTGTTAGGAATTTCGAGATGGATCTATTCTTACGTAATCTATACTCGAGTGCACTTGATGTATACCTCAAATTTGGTCATATATATCTGCAGCCTAGACTTCAAACATATGACCTTAATTATCATCAAAATATGTTGGATTAAATGGAATAATGCATGGAATGGTATATAGTGAGGAATCCTAATTCCTTTTAGCAATTGTACATGTCCCACTGTCCCCAATCATTATCATCATCAATATATAGATGTTATTATTATTTTGAGATTTATTGTATTACGATTTAAGACTTTATTCTTTGCATAACTCAAGTCACAAATCAAGTTTTATCTCTCACAAAAATTCAAATTTAACTTTTTTATTATATGCAAACATACGCTTAATTAGAATATTTTCATGCCTTGAAATTTCATTTTGACATCGTGCTACTTAAAACTTCAAATATATTTCTATACGTAACTTACGTTGATAATAACACGTGATTTTGTAGTTCACCAAAGAAAAAAAAAACACATGATTTTGTAGCACTATTTATTTCGTTAATTTCATGACACATGGTTTCCAAGGTGCGATTTAGTAACTGTATTGACGACGAGGAAGTTTATATATAGACCCCAATATTGAGTGCAATGTATCTAGAAGATCACTTCCTTGATTAAACAAAGAGAAAAAAAATTTCCTCTGTAAATGCAATATAGATCATTGAACGCAAAAATATAATTAACTAGAACGAGTATAATAAACTGCATCACAAAGTATGAGAGTCAAATCTTTTTTTTTTTGTTTTTGTCTTTTTTTCTTTTAAGATTAGTTGGAGTGAGCACCAATTGGCAGGCTAACAATTTGTGTTTGTGTATCGTGTTCTGCTGACACGATTACGAATTAGTGTCAATACGAACACGACACGATTAATAAATGCGTTAAGAACATAAACACGAACACGTAACATTTATTACATTGGTAACACGATACGACACGCGAACACTTTTATTAAATGAGTCGTGACGGACTGACATTAATATGATATGTTTATGATCCAACTAACAAAAAATAATGGATTTTTAATGAAGAGAAAATGTTGAAGTTATATATCATATTCAAAACTACTATTAATTGACTGTTAAAGATACTTTATAGTTAAATTAAGCAAGCATATGATAACAAAAATATAAATTCTCTAAAACTTCATAGTAATTAACACACATAAAAATATCTAATATTAAATATATACATGATAGTAATAAGTTATCATATATAAATGTCTTAAGCGTGTAAAGTGGGCTGACATAAATCCAGTTTATTTATTTTCGTGTTATTCGTGTCAACTTATTAACAGCCTAATTATTAAACACACGGTCTAAATTTATTTATCTCATGTCGTTTTCCTACCGCTCGAAATTGCCGGCCCTATCAATTGGGATGTAATTTCAATTCAAGTTTTAGTAAAGTGAAAGAAAAAGTTACTAGGAGGGAAAATATGGATAACTTATTTATCTTTCCTTTTTGATAATAAACCAACAGATATATCGCAAGGATGAAAAATTGATACCGGTGAAAATATTAGTACTCCATATTAAAAGAAATTTTGAGAAAAATATTGATATCGATAGAAATATCGAAAAAAATTATGGAAACTAGGAATATTTGTATTAACTAACACTTAATGTTTTTTTTGATATTTTAGAATATAAAAAACATAAAAAAATATATAAATTAATATGTTTATAAAAAACAATACACTAGGACCTCTGCAATGTTGATACTTTTACCGGCATTGACCTTAATTTTTCTTAAAATTTGTGATATTTCTCTGATATTTTTGAAATTTCCATCGGAATTTCAGAATTTTTAAGGTTATAATATATCTTTTGGGTGTAAAAACTGTTTCACCCAAATTTTTGATAAATTTTGATAAATATAGTAGAAATTCTTTGACAAAGAAAAATATTTCGGCACCTTAAATTTACTGAAATTTCAGTGAAAATTTTGAAAATAACGGAGAAATTTTCGTCCTAATGACTCACGTTGTAGCCATTAGTCTATGTTTTTTATTTTTTTTATTTTTTATTTTATTTTTTTAGCAAATGTACATGTGCTAGTAACCTTCATCATTATCTTCATCAATATAAATATTATATTATTATTATTATTCTAAGATTTATCTTATTTTGCCTTGGCTTTGGAACTATTTAATACGAGACGAAAAGAAGCTCTTTTCTCATATTATTTTTATGCTTTGAAATTTCATTTTGATATCCTGCTACTTAAAACTTAATATATTTATGTGGTTCGCACCATTTCTCTTTTGTACAGGGATAAAAAAAAAAAAAAAACTTGTGCTCTTCAATTACGCAACTTACATAACTTATCTTGATGCGTGATTTTGTAATTCACAAGAACAAGAAACACATGATTTTATAGCGCTATTTATTTCATTAATTTTATGATATGCACATGGTTTGCAAGACGACTTAGAAATTATATGTAATTCCTTGATTAACAAAAAAAAAAAAAAGTCTCCTATGTAAATGTAATATATAAATCAATAAATACAGAAATATAAGTTAGCTAGCACGAGAATAATAAACTGCATAACAAAGTATGAGATTCAAAGCTTAAAAAAAAAAAAAATATAGCGGGAATATGAGCACCAATTGGATATAAATTCAAGAAAGTTCGCTGATTTGAGTTTTTAATTCGAGTTGAGATGTGATTTTATGTGAGAGTTTTTATTGTAGTAAAAAAATTAGATGTGACTGTTTGTGAGAACCTTTTGCTGTAATAAAACTCAAATTTTAAACTCGAATAAGTGAAATGAACAAGGTCTGAGTAAATTGAAAAAGTTATGAGGAAGGAAAATATATGGATCACCTATTTATTTTTCCTTTTTGCTAATAAATCAACAGATCATATATGTTTCCTATTTGCTGATAAATCACCAGATATATCGCTCCTCATAGTTCACATTGAAGTGTACCAAGCAAATCCCACATGCGTGTGACTCAAGTTAGGCAAACAATCTTTGACAGGAAAAAAATAGCAGAGTATAATAATAATGTTAATTTTGATTTGATTTACAAAATAATATAATATAATTCCTTTCAACTATTAATGTTATATTTACTTTTTTAAAATTAATGTAATTCTCTTTATCTGTATTTATTAATTGTCTTTGTCTTACTTTTTTTATTTTTATTTTTTATGATGTTCATTGAATAAGAACAAAACTTCTGTAACACAAAAGCAACTGAATGCGATTAAAAAAAATTATATGTGAATAATGATACCTTAATATAATTAGCGTCCCAATGTTGAATTCATCAGTATAATTTATTGCAAAGCTATTCCCAATGTTAGCATCCAGCGTTATTAGAAACAATATAAAATATAAAGAGTAAATAACATAAACTAATATTATAAGGAATTTTTTGTTATTAAAAATACAATTTTTAGTAGGGGTGTTCACGGATTGCAATTCGCGTATTAAAAGTCAATCCGTGTTCGATCCAAAACCTTTGGAGATTCAAAACCTTTTGGATTTTGCTGATTGGATACACATATTCACGGATTTTACAGATTAGGTTCACAGATTTCACGAATTATGACCTTTAAAATTATAAATTAATAGACATCCATATAAAATAAAACAACATGAAATCTTCATCATTGATCACAACTCAAAGTTTGTGCATGTATTATTAAATATTTTATGAATATCATTGAAAATTTTACAACTATTTATGTAACCTTAAATATGGTATATAAGTGTTATATACTAGACGATAATATTTAAGGATAATAATCGAAATGAGTCCGTAATGAATTTAATTAAAGTTTAGAATCTTTAATTAAAATATTATTAATACATGTCATTCCCATTAAAATAGAATGAGCTTATCCACACCGTTGATATGAAGAGATGTCGAATGAGTGTATTTTACGATTATGTAAGATTGGGACACAAACACAATTTTACACCCCAAATGACATGTATAATTTTTTATACTAGTATAATTTATTTTGTCTTGTAAAAAAATGGTTTTAATAATTTCAAAAGTATCTTAAATGTCAATTCAACTCATGTTCGTTAACTGTTACAAAAAAAAAAAAAGTAAATGTATAAGTACCTATTACTTGATAATGAGTAAGGGATAAACTCGGGCATAGAGATAAGCACACATATAAACTTGTCTTTTAACTAGCAAATGTATTCATGAAAACTCTATTATCATTTTCAAAAGTAAAGTTTATTGTCTAATGATCTTGTCATTTTAAAAGTGCAACAATTTCGTTGACATATGCTTTAATTGAGCACATTCTTGTTGTCGTATGTGATTAATATTAAATCCATATTAATCACTATTTGAGTACCACAAGCTCTCAAAATTGCCACCGGCTGTCCTAATCATTTTAAGATTGACCCCTTCTAGGAGGGTATTTGCCAACTCAAGATATTCTCAACCACCTTAAATTGTTTTCTGTCGACAGCTATATTTTACTTCATTCAAACAGTTGTAAAATCAAATAGTTATTAATTTTTTTTAAATTTTCTTCTTTACTCTACTATGATTCTTATACTATCTTATACTCATAAAAATCAATACCAATATATATATATATATATATATTGATATTGGGGTTTTTATTCTATACCATAAAAATTAGGGTTTTTAACGTAATTCATCATCCCGAACTTGTTATGGTTTAACAAATTACCCCTCAAAATTTTGATTTTAACAATTAACTCTTCAAATTTATAATATTGTTGCAATGTTTCCATTTTAATTGGCTCAAATGTTTTTATAAGATTTAAAGGATTAAAAGTTAAAGAATTGAAAGATTTGTGTTACATTCGAATTAGGATGTTAGAATTTTTCATCAAACATGCATTTTTTATGTTAATTTAATAAAATTATCGTTATAATATGACATATTGTAACAATTTTATAAGTAAAAGGGTAACTTGTCAAAATTAAATATTTACAGATAAATGTGTAAAATACCCTAAAAATCACATAGAAGAGTGAATTCAGAATATCTAAAGCAAATACAAATTTTGTAGTAGAATACAAAATATATCCTATTCGAATTGAAACCAAACTCAGTGAAGAGTCCATATTGGAGGAGTAATTTGCTCAACCCACCAAATAACTCTTAAAAAAACAATAAAAATAAAACACCAAGAGAATTCACTTTCTAGTTTCTATAAATACTACAAAGCCACGCGCAAAACACGGCGAGTGGACTATAAATTCTAATTTTGTATCATAATTTTAAAAACTATGATAGATATGGAATTTTTAATTATCTTTATCCGAATATACCACCATCATCTCAAGTAAATGATTGGAGAAATTCACAGTTTCTAATTCATAAAAATACAGTGGGAAGGGATCAACAAACCTTCATGTTGCACATTCATAATTTTGTTCAATATTATTCAAATAACATCTAATAATACCAATATTGTTTAAATTAAGATGAGATCCCGACTATGTTTGAGCTTCATAGAACTTCATTTTAATATTAAAAAATGTAATATGTATGAGATTCTTTTATGTAAAATTTATTTATTTATGTATCTTTTTAATGTTGATGTTATTAAAAAGTATCAAAAATATGTTTTAATGTAAATTTTCTTCATTTTCATAAATTTTTTTTGATATTGTCACTAATATCGATATTTTTTTAAATATTTTTGTAAGACTGGAGTATCAATATTTCTACGGACAGTTAGTTTTTCATCGTTGTTGCTGTGTAGTACAACAAAATTTCCACTTTTGTCTTCTTATGTGCAGTACTCTCTCTCCCCTCTCTTTCTCTCTCTTCATCTTTTCTTGCGTAGTACAAACACACAACCAAAACTATACAAACACACAACCAAAACTATACAAACACACACAGAAACCAAAACTACAAATACACGCGCGCGCGCACACCCAAACACACACAACCACAACCAAACCAATATTCATCAACCCCATTAATTCGCACCTTCCATTTCCTTCCCAAATGCCTCGTCTCCTCATTTTCTCTCTCCTCCTTCTCTCTCTCTCTCTCCCCTCCTTAGCTCACAGCGGCCACCACGACGACGGCGGCGACGAGAACGACGCCGTACCCACCTCTTCTCTCCACTCCACGTCCCTAATACTGACCAAAATATGGTGTTTGATACTGATTTTCGCTGCCACTTTTATCGGCGGTTTGTCGCCGTATTTCCTGAAATGGGACGAGAGGTTTTTGGTGTTGGGCACGCAGTTCGCCGGCGGAGTGTTTCTGGGCACGGCTCTTATGCACTTCTTGAACGACGCCAATGAGGCTTTTGAGGATTTGACGACAAAGGAATATCCTTTTGCGTTTATGTTGGCTTGTTTTGGGTTTTTGCTCACTTTGCTTGCGGATTGTGTCGTTTCTCATGTGTTTGATAAGGAGATAAACGGTGGGAATGGCGATGTTGAGGTTGGAGGTAAGTGGGTTTTTGTGTTCTGTTTGCTTGATGGGAAAATGGGGTTTCTTTGTTTTTCACTCTGTTCTGTTGGAATTAAAGATTTGGTTTCTCTTCTTTTTTCTCTTTTTGGAAACAAGAGATACGCGTTTTTGTTTTACTCTTACACTTGGAAAAATGTATGAATTTGTCATAGTTTGGTGAATTTAAAGACTATATTGGTAAAAGAAAAAAATTGGGGCTATTTTGTAATCTAAAAAGTTTGAGGGAGAAATGTGCCGAAAGGCTATTACTTTTTGAGAGCCATTTGATGAAATGACATAATCAGAAAGTTTCTAGCAGCAAAATAAAACTATGATTGATCCGTTTGGTCAATTTTGATTAGGTCTTGATGGAGTCCATAGGATTTTGATTTTCTTTTAAATGAAAGGTTTTCTTACAGAACTTTGATGATTGAACGTGTTGGTTTATTTATTTATTTACTAGTATTATTTTTATTTTCTATAAACAATGTTTCTAAAGAGTTAATCGCGTTCGAATGCTTTGTTGTAATTTTTATAAAATAAATATCAAAAGGCTAATTAATCTCAACGTGTGTGTGTGTGTGTGTTTGTCTGTTGATATCATATTAAAATTTATCTTTCTTTGTTTTTTGTTCTTCATTGCAGGGAGTATTGAGAAGGGCAAGGCTGGACAAAATGGTGGAACCCCACAAAGCCATTTCCAGGTGTTAATATTTGAACTTTATTTTTATCTTTTATTAATTTTAGGAAGTGTAATTTAAGACATAACGTGTTATAGCTTTAGTTTTATGTTTATGAGATTCTCCTTTATGCCTCAACAGAGCCATGACACTAAACCCCATGCAAATCCAGCTGCTAGTGTTGCAACTGTTGGTTCATTAGGGGACAGTATTCTGTTGATTGTGGCTCTATGTTTTCACTCCCTTTTCGAGGGAATCGCCATCGGAGTAGCGGAGACAAAAGCCGATGCTTGGAAAGCTCTTTGGACTATTTCTCTTCACAAGATATTTGCAGCCATTGCCATGGGAATTGCCCTCCTCCGGATGATCCCGAACCGTCCTCTGTTATCATGCGCAGCCTATGCATTTGCCTTTGCCATTTCTAGTCCGATTGGTGTGGTAATCGGGATAATAATTGATGCCACGACACAAGGTCCCGTGGCTGATTGGATCTTCGCGATATCCATGGGCTTGGCTTGTGGGGTGTTCATCTATGTGTCCATAAATCATCTTCTAGCCATGGGCTATACCCCTCAGAAAACGGTTTATGTGGACACTCCTTTTCTCAAGTTTTCGGCTGTGTTGTTTGGTATTGGCGTTATTGCTGTTGTGATGATCTGGGACACTTGAAATTAAGTACTGGTCTAGTATTTTGCCATTAGTTTGCCTGTGATAGCCACTGAGACAGGGAAGAAGGTATTGTTGTGTTGTGAAAATTAATTCTTAGTGCAATGCAATGCTATACGGAAATATAGTCAGTGTAATACTACTAAAGAAATCTAATTTTTTTCTTGGGATATTGTCTATATCCCCCAATTTTTTCTTGCCTGTGATAGCCATCTTTTCTGCAATGAAAACTCAAAAAGTTGAAAATGAAGCAAAAACTATTTGCATGTAAATTACATATAAAACAAGAAAAACCACAAGTCTCAATCAATTCTATTAGAAGTGATTCTCTCTTTCCTTGCCCCTTGTCATTTCTCACTCGCAGATATTTTTCGTAGAAGTGCTTCGAAAATTGGAAAGTATACTGTTCAAATCTGAAGCAGGAGCAAAACATGTACAATAAATCAAGAGCTCAAAACATGCAACAGATACAAGTAAACAAAGAGATCAAAAGCACACAACAAATCAAACAATCAAGAAGTCAGAATTTGTTAACGGGGTTTGGCCAAAGAACTGGCTACATCCCCGGGACTCAGTGTGCAGAGTCTGATCTTATTGCAAGGATCCAAATTACACACTCAAAATGCCTAAGCAAAACAGACTAAAGCCAACAGAGTGAACCAGTGAATTACATCGATGATCAAGTACCCTTACTTATACAGATACAACAATCTCTATATAATTACATAAAAGACAACATTGACTTGTAGTCCGAGCAATCGGCATTTGAGATCCAAATTATGCAGCACATCAGCAACATTAACTCTAACATTACAGATCAACAATGCAGCCTGCAGAAACTAAAGGTGGCACATTTTATATTAAAGAGTTTGAACTATAACAAAGGGTTCATAAGAAAACTAGGATTAGTTTTCGAGAAAATTCTTACCAATTCATTCGCTAGTTCAAGAGCAAAATACAGTGGCACAAGTCCCCTGCTTCAACAGAAGCGAAAACTAGTGATGCAATTTCACTTGTTTTTCTGTTTCGATTTCACCACCTTCTTCTTTAGAATGCGTCATGTACAATTGATAAATATTCCAAAGATGCTTAACTTGTACTAAGAATTGGCAAATCTCGAAGGCAAGTTGCACAACCCATGATGCTGCAGCTCCTAGAAAGTGTCCTGCTGTAGAAAGTGTCATGCTGAAGCTAAAAATAAGGTAACATGGTACGATTGAGAGATTAAGCAAAAACAGAAAGGGGATTACACAAAATAAGGTTCTGACCTCTGAATATTTAAGAAGAAACATTAGTAGACATTCCTCCTGGAGCCTTGCGTGTGGCTGATTCTGATACATCTGCAGAGATTAATCACATCCATCGGTTTGTTCTAAGGTCACGAATTCCTCTATGATTCTTATATTAGACTGTTGATAACAAAATAAAAAGAAAGTACCACAATTAGAAAGCTAGTTCCTCTCTAATGTTTCAATGCCATTCGTGAGGAAACGTAGCAGACAATCACTCGTTCCAAAATCTGTTTAGTAGTTGCAATAGTGGTTTATGACAAGATGAAAAATACAAGACAGTCTGCATAAGATCTTGGTTGAGTTATAGAACCTTACAGAGAAACATTTATGAATTATTGGAAATTCTAATTTTTTATCATCTATATAAGAAAATGGTATAAATCTTTTATAAGATAATGTGAATGTGTCATACTCTAGTGGTACAAAAACTAAATAACAAATTATTGACAATTTCTAAATTCAAAGACGACTTAGATTTGCAGCAACATAATGGACAAAAGATAATTTTGAATGGAGCAACATAATGGACAGCAATTCAGTTCAAATCAAAATTTCATCATAAACGACTAGTAGTAAAATATACCAAAAATACAAGATCCTGAGTACCAACAAATGTAAGAGCAAATTAATCAATTCTTATTAAGTAAAATGGAACAAAATTCACAATGGAAAGATGAAATTTTCAAATAACCTCCACAAACTAACTCTAAGAAAATTCACACAGAAATATGAAAAGCAAAGCAAAAAAACAAGTGTCTTAACTTGTGTACAAAAAGAAGAAGAAGAACGCTAAAGTAACAGGGAAATATATATAGAAGAAAAAGAAACAAATTTATCAAATGTTATTAACTAAAGTAGAACGAAATTTAATATTTATAATACCTGAAGAGATGATTGGAGCACACTGAGGATGGGGAGGGACAGAAATGCATAATGCTTTCTCATACTTTTTCCAAATTGATTGTTATGTTGGGGATGTGCTGAATCTTGGGCCAATCTTCCCCTGTTCCTCTTTTGCACCGCTCATTTAACAGAGGACAATTCAAGATGAATAAACAAGTAAGAGAACGGGGAATCCCTTTTTCTGGCAAGCTCTCTAATTCTATGCAGTTAGATATATCCAATTGTTGGAGGGAGGTGAGTTGCTGAAATCCTTTTCCGTTTAGGGCTTTAAGGTTTCTGAAGTCACAGATTATAAGAGAAGTCAAAGTGGATGGAAGCAGCCCTTCCTCTGGAAATGAATCCACCGCTTCTTCAAATTGACATCCATCGAGCCATAAGCATTGAAGAGAGGAGAGTCTTTGCAAATCCCAATAGTTGAGTATTGGGCAACTATTGATTAGAAGTGCCTTTAAATTAGAGGGCAAGCCCATTGTTGAAAATGACTCTAATCTTGGACAAACCACTAAACTTATAAGTTTAAGAGAGGGACATGCGGAATCAATCTCTACTTGACTTATTGGAAATACACTCACCATTTCTACACATTTACCAATTTCAATTCTCTCCAAGGAGGGAAAACAACCAGCGGGTAGTCCAACTTTTAGTTTCTTACAGGATCTGAAAAATATATCCTCGAGACGAGGGAAAAGTTCTCCTCCTTGCTCAACTCCAGCAAATGACCAATTCTCCAACAGATCCATATTACAAATTATTAAGCTTTCTAAGGATGGAAATGGCTTTGTCAAGGAAGTACCATAAAAATCATCTCCTATGCTTTCCAACCCATTCATATACTCAATCCTTAGCTTTCTGAGGGAAGGTAGTTGCCCAAATGAGGGCAACAAGCAACAACGTTCACAATGAATCAGAAAAACTTCAACCAAGTCACTAAATGATTTATGTGCTACCCAATCTGGGAATATTGTACCCCTGTAACCTCTGATTTCGAGTTTCTTCAGCTTTCCATGCGGTTTCAACGCATCAAGCACTTGTCTTTCTTTTGTTGAATCATCAATCTCTCCATACTCCCATTCTAAAATAAGCTCAGAAAGATGCTCTTTGTTCTTCAAATCAGCCTGCTTCACGTCCCCAACATCCACCACGTTTTCAAGTCCTGAAATGCAAAGACTTCCACGCAAACACTGTAGCTCTCCCAACTCTTTGATCCTAGAGCCACCATTTTTGCCCAAGACAAAATCACTTAACGTCTGTAGATTTTTCAACTTGCACATCTGTGGCGGCATCTCTTTTAATGGCGTTCCTTTGATCACGAGATGACGTAGGTTGATTAAGCAACACATGCTAGTTGGCAATTGTGTAATTTCTACACAATTTAACAACAACAGTGTTTGCAAGTTGTATAGAGTACAAATTGAACTTGGAATTTCTTTGACCTTCGATTGAGATAAGTCCAAGTACCTTAAATGTTTCAGATTACCAATTGAATCTGGCAATTCATTGATATAAGATTCAGCTAGAGAAAGAACTCTTAGGCATCCTCCAGCTCTTAGCAATAGTTCATGAAGGATACTTTGCGTCACCTTTGAATATGGCAATGCTAGGAATGTGCGCAAGCACTTGAGTTTGCTCAAACCCTCTAACTCTCTCAAGTCTGTGGACTTTTTTCCATATGAAAAATGACCAGTCTTGTTCATAAGGTTGCATGAGTGATCATTACAGCCATCTGATAAATGACAAAACTCACCCGACACACTTACAGCCAAATCATGGATTAGGTCGTGCATAACGAGAGTTGATTTATCCCAACTAGATTGCTGGAAGTATGATCTTGCTTTCAATGCATTCAAGTACTCTACTCCAATATCTTCCATCCGTTTTCCTTCTTGAGGTTGCAAAAGCCCCTCTGCCATCCACAACCAGATTATGTAATCTGTATCGCTTTCACGAAATGGATAATCTTTTGGAAATATTGATAAGTAAGCAAAACAACGCTTCAGATGTGCTGGTAGAAAATGGTAGCTCAAACACAACGCTGGAAGAATTTTGGGGTTGTGATTTTCCTGAAACTTCAGCTGCCATATGTCACTTCGCAATATCAATCCCCATTCTTCTGGATGTGTAGAGCGTAAAACACCAGCAATAGATTTTACTGCCAGAGGAACGCCCTTGCACCTTTCCACAATTTCAATGCCAATTTCTTGCGAATCCGCCACTACACTGGATTCCGTATTGTCAGAGACATGCTTTCTAAACAAGTGCAAACAGTCATCATTAGATAATGTCTTCAGGTCATAAGCTCGAACATTACGGATCTTTGATGCTACGATCATACTCCGAGTGGTCACAATGACTCTGCTTCCTTGCGCATCAGATTTTAAAGGGCTCTGTAAAAGCTCCCAAAATTGATAATCCTCATTCCAAACATCATCAAGAACATAAAGAAATTTCTTCGCCATCAAAAACTTCTTCAATTCTTCTTGAAGGTCATACAGGTCCTTCGTATCAGAGTTTCTTTTGGAGGTTTTCCCGAAAAGTGCTTTCGTTACTTCGAATACATCGCACTCTTCCGTACCCACTCTGTCAAGTCAAAATGTCCCCGAACCCTTTTATCATTATAAAGAAGCTGTGCAAGGGTAGTTTTGCCTATGCCACCCATTCCCACTATAGCAATCACGGATAGGTTGGGACCCCCAGCATCATTTGACAACAATAACTCGATAATCTTCTCTTTGTCTTTCTCCCTTCCATAAACATCAGATTCTTCAGCCCAAGGGGCAGGTAGTCGCCGTAACAGTCTTTTCTGATCACCTTCTTTCAAACCAAGGAAAAGTGCTTGATCCGAAAGAGACTTTAATCTGCTAAGGATATCCTCTATTTCGGATCTTACAGTGTTCTCAAATGCACCGAAAAATGTTGAAATAGAGTTGATAAACTTGCTAGCTCTGCTTCCAGATTGATCACCAGCTTCCACCTTGCGCCGCAGAGCTTCGGTGTTGATTTCATCCATTGCGTGGTCTGCTTCATAAAGCACTTGTTTAAGATCATCAAGCCACTTCTTCACGTTTTCATCTGTGAGTTGTTTCACCTCAGCATCATTCATCAACTTATTAGCAGACAACAACCTGATCTTTAACTCGTCAAGAAGCTTAGCAAGGACTTTCTTTCCTCGGAAGAAGTTAAGGACCTCTTGAGTAGCCATCCTATCAAGCAAGACATTAAAGAAGCCGGAGAGAAGAGCACTTCCCACGAGTTCAGCCATGGTTTCTCTTCCTCAAAACCAACTGAAATAAGATGGAAATGATGGTAAGCAGTAAGCATTGTAGAGTATAATTATGAGCTTAAAAACAGTTACTAGCTATCAAAAGAAACAAAAAGAATCACTCCAATCTTTCCTATTTTTCCTACTTTTCTAGTGATACTTTTTATTATTATTATTTAAAAATTTTTTTATGATGGAGTGGTTGAAAGTTATATAAAATATTCTTCGTTTAATATTAACTCTTTGATTTTATTCATTTGCCTATATGAAGTTATTATTACTTAAGATATTTGCATAATAATGCTCTTCAAAATGTTGATGAGTTTCCTTAACGTTTGAAAAAACAGCTCTATCGACGTATAAAATACAAATATATTTCGTACAATTGCTTGTACAATATCATTAAATTTCAAGGATTCAAATTAGCGGCTAGAAGTTAGGTAGAGCTTAAAAACAACTACTTCAAATGAAATGACATTGAAATAAGAAAAATAAATTGACGAAAAAATTAAAGCAAATAATATATACTGTAACTATTTCTGTTCTTCAACCATGTTAATTTAGCCATATTTTTACATATTTTTCTTTTATTATTCAAGAGAGGGTCTAAAAATTAAAAATAAATATAAAAAAAAAAGCCGAAAACATTACAACGGAATTTAGAAAAAAAGATTCTTTAAAATGATTATTATATAAAATATTTTCCTAGACATATATCAGCGTGTGAAAGGAAGAATAAAAAATGCTGGACGTTTAAGAGTTGCAATATATATGTTTTGCTGGCAGCAATATATATATATATATATTTGGAACCACGTCACCACCCACCCCCTTAAATAATACCTTTTTTTTACAAATCTTGTTTTTTCAAAAAAAAAATATTACTGGTAACATCTACCATAATATATGTATATAAATTTTTTTTAAAAAATCAATTATACCTTAAGTTTTGGCTTTTAAGTATATCCTTATATAAAATCTCAATTAAACCAAAAATCAATTATCTCCTCCATATAACTTCACAAGTTTCATGACTCTTTAAACATTAAATTTAACTTTATTAGAAGAAGCTTATTTTATTTTATTTTATTTTATTTTTTGAAAAGAATGATGCAAATTGATAAATAGAGGTAAAAAAATTGTCGGACTGGAGTTATAGCTCAAAAAGTTTTGATTTAAATCACGGTCTACATCCAATATTTCATTATTAAAAAGAAAAAGAATAACAAAATATTCACGGAATTAAATCACATAACTATAAAGTAGAAGGTGAGAAGAAAGAGATATGCCTTTGGAGAATTAAGTGAAGATCTTAATGCTAGTTGTAAACAGGAGAAGATGACTTTGGTTGTAGCAATCTTTGTGCTTCTCTTTAATATATCTCCTTTGAATGATGAAAGTTTTCTCCTTCCAAATGATCTGAAATAAGATTGCTGATCTGGATGGGAAATCACTCTAGCGGAGAATAACAAAGACTTTTGCTCAATGAAAATATCACTGTTTTTCCTCACCTATCTTTCTCCCTCTTTTCCTACCCCAATTTACTCGTTCGGTGAAGACAATAATTTGTGGTTCCAAGAACTTGCAAGGTCCACTTAATTTTTTATGACGGAGTTGTTGAAGCTTAAAGAGATATATATATATATATATAT